GGAGTAACCCAAAGCAGTAATGTGACCAATTGTTGAACATCTTGTGCATGGGCAACTTGCCCAATTTGAGTTACAATATCCTCGTATGAGAAGATCGGATTTAGAAGAAAGAAACACCCCATTATCAAGTGATGACTTGAGATACCATAGAACATACATAGCAACATCCAAGTGTTGTTGTAGTGGATCACTCATGAATTGGTTGAGAATGTGCACTGGAAAGGTGATTTCTGGTCTGGTGATGGATATATATATTAGGCGCCCAATTAAGTTCTTTACTAACTTGTATATAGTATGGATGGGCTAGAATTTGGGTCAATATGGTGTTACTGCTCCATAGGAAAAGAACTTGGACGACAGTCGAGCATGCCTGTCTCTTTGAGAATGTTGAGTGTGTACTTTCACTTGCTTAGGAAGATAAAAGAAGGAGATCCAAAAATATCAATGCCCAAAAAATATCAGAGAGGGCCCAAGTCCTTAATGGAAAAACAATGACTGAGGTATTGTTTAAGTGAATTGTACTAACCAGATCGTTCCTATAGCTATGATTAAATAATCCACATAAAAGTAACACAATAAGAATGCTGCTAGATTTGTGAAGTGTGAAGAGAGTATGATCTATGGAAGATTGAGAAAACCCTCATTACTTAAGTGCATGGGCTAAAGTCTCAAACCAATTCCGAAATGTTTGCTTGAGCCTATAGATTAACTTGTTCAGCTTACAAACACAGTTGTCAACTATAGGAAGGAGGCCTAAAGGAGGCCATACATAAACTTCTTTGTGGAGAATTCCCTAAAGGAAAGCATTGTTTACATCCATTTGATGCAAATGCTAATCTCGTGCTACTACTAAGGCCAATAAGCAATGTATAGCAACGGGTGTAAAAGTTTCAATGTAGTCCACACCCTTAGTTTGAATGTAGCCCTTGGATACAAGACACGCTTTATAGCACTCTATACTATTGTGAGGATTGGTTTTAATCTTGTAGACCATTTACAATCAATGGGCTTTTTGCTAGGAGGAAGATCTGCTAGAGACCATGTTTTGGTGAAGCTTCAAGGGTCGTAAGTTCAACTACTAGGGCATTGTGCCAACATGCATGTTGATTGGTTTGCTGGTAAATGGTGGGTTTAGGAGGTAGGATAGGTGGAGTGGACACCAAATTAGAACTGGTAAGATAGTTGCAAATTGGATGACTTGTATAACATACAGAGTTGGTACCATGTAGGCCATGTTTAATTGTGGGGCAAATAAAATGATCCAGTTTGGTGGGTGCACAATGTATTCTAGTGGGTCTAGAATTGGATATCATTGCTATTGGTTGTTTCTAATGGAGAGATAACATCACCTATGACTAGACGTGGAATCACAACTGTAGAGGAAGCATCAACATCAAGAGAGTGATCAACATACTTGAGTGGAAAAAGATCTTCAAAAAATACCACATCTTGAGATATTAATATTTCTTTGGTGACAATAGTGAAAACACGGTAACCCTTCTGGCCATGAGGGTATCCGATGGTAATACATCGCTATGAATGTGGGCTAAATTTATCCCTACCACATTTTTGTGTTGTAGCATAACAAAGACATCCAAATGTGATAGGAAGGTGGCCTTTGAAACAACATTTCATATGTGATTTTACTAGAAAGTTTAGGAGTGGGTATGTAGTTGATCAAATATGTTGACGTAAGAACACATTCCCCCCAAAACTGAACCGGTAAACCTGCTTGGAATATAGAGCTTTAGCCATCTCAAGAAGATGATGATGATTTTTTCCACCACTCCGTTTTGTTGTGAGTTTCGAAACAAGAGCATTGATGGATTATACCATTCTCAGCAAAGTATGTCTACATAGGCCTAGATGGAAATTCCAATCCATTGTCAGATTAGATGCACTTAACTTGTGTGTTAAATTGAGTCCAACAAACAAAGAACATAAGTAAGAACAATGAGCATCAGATTTGCATTGCATAAAAAAAAACCATGTAGCTCATGAGTCTACAACAATAAGGAAATATTGAGCCCCTGAAAGTAAAAGAGTATGATATCCACCCTATATATGTATATGTATCTAGTCAAAGCATTTAGTTGCATTTGTCTTACTAATGTGAATACAAAGTCGAGCCTATCTTGCTTTCATGCAAATGCCACCGCAAGAATTATTAGGTAAAGAATATGTAAATCAGGAATCAATGCAAGATTATGATAAGAAGCATGTCCAAGTCTCGAATGCCACAATTTCGAGTTAACTTTATGTACTGTGTGAAAAGCCATGGATGGTGGAGTAGGTAGAAGATGATACAAACCACCACGCATTAGACTGAACCTAATCACCTTCTTAGAGCTCAAGTCCTGTGTCACACAGAAACTCGAAAAGAACAAGGCAACATAGTTAAGATGTGAAGTTGTTTTTCTAATGGATAACAATTTGCATTTGAAGTCCATCACAAATAGAACATCTCATAGGGACAAACCCGGGGGATAGTGCCAAATCAACTTGTGATTGTATTGGCATTGTAAAGCCATTTGACAAGTGAGTTGGTTTGTTGGGTGAAGGAAGCGTGTGAGTGTCTAGATTCTTGGTAGAAGGTGTCATATTGTCTGAAGCACCATTGTCTAGTAACCAAGGTCCTAACTCTAACAACCAAAGTAAACAAGAGGCCGTATTGACAAAATTTAAGGAAATCATTGGATTATTAGATTTGAGAAGATTCAGAAGTTGATGGTACTATTCCATTATGAGGCTAGCTATCGAAGATGTGTCAGAGGCAACTGAAGCTTGTGAGCTTGACTTCGAAGTACTAGTGTTATTCTTTTCTTGAGAATTGTTTCTCTGTATGCTAGATTTCCCTTTTGCATCCCAGCCTAGAGGGTAACCAATGAGTTTATAGCAGCAATCCTTACCATGGCTTGTCTTTTTGCAATGATCACAATGGAGTTTTGATCAATCTTTGGTGTTCTTGGAACCACCCTTGGCCTGATCAGTTATGTGAAGACCTGATTAGTTCGTTGGCTAGCAACTAACTAATGTTTGTCCTCTTGTGTAATTATGGCATACACCTTGCTTATATATGGGAGAGGCTCCATTCCAAGAATATTGGAGTGAATGGTACTGAATCAGTCACTAAGACCCATGAGAAATTGGTAGACGAGATCTTCTCGCGTTTTGATACCAGAGCTTTCATTACATCGCAAGTGCAGTAGGTATAGATCAACATCTGAATGTAAGTTGAGAGTTCATCCTAGATCGCCTTTATTTTTGTATAATACATTGAAACAAAGAGGTTATCTTGTCTGAGCAATGCTAAATCCTGTTTCAAGTGGAAGACGTGCGATGCATTTCCCTACGAAAGTCTCTCCTCCAGATCTAACCAGATTGCACAAGCATCGTCCATGTAGGCAATGTTGTCATGCAATTCTCTGGCCAAGGCATTGTAAATCCATGATATGACCATTGAATTGCATTTCTTCCGGGCAAAGAGCTCTGTTTGCTTTGTCTGGTCTAGTTTCACGATTATGTCATCAACATAACTAATGTTATTTATTTTTTCCCAAAGAGCATTTGTCATTGCTCTCCTCTAGTCGGATAATTGTCACCATTCAGAGGAGTGGTGACCAGCATGAGCCAGGATTGTTTGAGATGCGGAGATAGTATGGAGACGTAGAATTAGAGTAATCTGCATTACGGATGTCTGTGTGTTTCCACTGACGTTATCTCCAATAACCATCTTCTTGCGCGCGATTTGAAGAAACACAAGGTCGTCGTCGCAGAGAGGAACAAGAAGCAGCGGTGGATTAAACTGAACACTCTGATACCATATCTAATTTTGGTGGCAAAAGAATTTTGTATATTTTATTCATAGAGAGAGGTATTTATAGATACAAGAGACAGTCTAATCGTCTGTGTTACTCAATTTTGCAAGTGGCAAGATTCAGGGGAAAGGTTCATATGAGAGCCTAGAGGCAACTACTTTCTAAGAATCTAACAAATTAGCACGTGGCCTTAACAACTTAATAGGTGGTGCAAAATTTTCATCAAGTTTTAAGATGCAAAATTTGTATCATCTATGACTGTGAATGCTATAAACAGTGTAATTTTTGCATCAGGTAGGAGATGCATATCAAAGTGACAAATAGATGCCCTTAAAACAAGCAAGTTGAAATCCAAAATTATCTTGAATATATAAGTATTTAATCAATCAGCGATGACCTGTGACCCTGTGACCAGACTAGGTATTTTGGTCATTGAAAAAAGGATGAAAAAGATGTGTTCATAAATAAGGGGCCATAGCAATTAAGGCTATGTTTGGTTTGAAGGAAAAAGTAGGGAAAGGAAAGAAAACCTTTATAAACATTGTATGGATTTCTCTACCTTTTCCTTTCTTTTCTTACCTTTTCCTTCAAACCAAACATAGCCTTAGGGTCACCATCCTCCGGTTTCCGATCAATGGTCCCAGGAATCCCGACTTAATCCATCTTTCCCATCGTAAATTATATTAACTGAAATGGTTAGGTCTGATCCAGGATAACTCATTAATTTAATTTAGTAAGGCCAGGTCAATGAGTATCCATTTGTAATAATCAATTGCAGAATTCTTATATAAGTCCCAATAGTTTAGTGGCTCTGTTTTGTTGTGATTTGCAGTATTCGTAGTTTTCTGTTTGTTTGTTCGAATCAAGTTTTCTGTTCAACAAAACAATAAAAGAACCCACTAATAATTAATTTACTTCATTTTTTAAGCTTCAAACTCACCTAAATAAGGGATCTTTTCATTAACCAGATTGCATTATGAGATGAAAAAAAATCACTAAAACAAGGCATTAGTTCATTAAGGCTTGGATGACGATGCTGATGATGCAACCAACACTTGATTGAGTCAATACCTCTTAGTTTCTTATATATATTGATTTAATTTTATTTTAAGTTGACCTAACAACTCTCAAGTCCTTAAAGTTTTACAACTTCTCTCCCATATTGATGATTGTACACTGAAACCGAGATAGATGGAGGAAGTCCGAGCTGCTGCTTTAGCGGCCTACAGTGACTATTCGAGCGAGGAAAAGAATCTGGTAGTTGAGGCCTTCAAATCCTTAGCTTCTTACAAAGATGGCAAAGCCAGCTGCAAAGAGTTAGCAGATTTGTTCTCTGAATCCAGAAGCCAGCGAAAGGAAGAAATTTTCGCCGGAGTAGACCGAGATGGAGATGGGTATCTGAATCTCTACGATTTCATCACCCTGGCTTACACGTTCTACGGGACGTTCAGTTGTGACGAGTGTGGAGACAGAAACATGGTAACAAAGGGCATGTCTTACTCCTGTGTCGAATGCATCGATTTGAGGAACTCCAACGACGACAATCGTTCGTACAATCTTTGCGTCACATGTTATAAAAGTAAGCAATTCAGCCACCATCACTCTTTCTTCTTGGATAACTACCTGCAGTTGCAGAAGAGGAATCAGATGGCAAAGAAACTCAAGGTAAATATTATTGATTACACCAGACCCCATCTATCCATCTTTTTCTCTTTCTTTTCTCTCCAAAGAAGAGGGGGCACCTGCAGCTTTACGTTCGTCGAGAACGACGAAATAAGAAGAAAATTAAGAAGAATGGAGAAGGAAGTGGAATCTGGAGTTGTTTTTTCCAACTCTCTTTGTATCTTTTTTAATGCAAAACAATTAAGTCGGCTTTTCTTTGAAAAACAATATATGTTTTTTAAACCATCAAAATAACAAATTAAATAAAATTTAATAATAGTGCATAAATTATATGATTTATAGAACATGATATTAAATAACCAGTTTTTTTATTTAATAGAACATATATTTTTTAACCAATTTTAATACCAAATTTGATAATAGTGTATAAGTTCAAGAACATATATAATTTTTTATTTCAGTTTTGAAAATGAAAAATACACACATATAACCAAGAATATGTTTTCTATGTTTTTGTTTTAAAAACTAATTTTATTTACAAACCAGTTGGTTTTGTCTTGTTTTTGGAACTAGAAAAACAAAAGAAAAAAAGAAAAAATCAATTAATATTGGAAAGCACCCTCTTATTTGTTTTGAATTATTTTAGTAATATTTTTTATATATCCAGTTTTTATCTCTCCTACCTGTCATATAATGAAACTAGATCTTCATGGGGAAGTGATTGCTCTGGAAAAACTTTGTAATTTTGGTAGCTAATATTGTCTTTACCCTGCAACAATTTGATAGAAAATAAGGAATAATTTCTTATCATTTCTCGACAATTCTTTGTTGGTTTTACTTCAATCTTTGAAACCCAGGATAGAAAAAAAAGCAGAGAGTCACACGAAGCCTTAGAAGCTGCCTTGGCATATTATGATGCATGTTCAAATGAGGAAAAGGAGCTATTAGAGAAAGGATTCATGCAACTTGATTTTGACAACGACGGAAGAGTTAGCTCTAAAGATTTTAATGCCTCTCCATTTGCCAATTCAGGACGGGGAATCAAATTGTTGGATAATTATTATATGGATTTCAAGACTTTCATTAAAAGTATATACAGAAGAGATTCGAAGGGTTGTTGCGAGCACTGCAATCTTTATATAGACGGCATGTTTTACTCTTGCGTAGAATGCTTCGACAGGTGGGATTCCAGTGGCAAGCACTGTCGCTATGATCTCTGTGTCAACTGCTATCGCACTCGGAAATTCGTCCACCCACACTCTTCATTCTTCGATAACTATGTTCTTCTGGAGAAGAGAAATTTGGCTTTAAAAGAATACAAGGTAAATTCACAAGATATTGTTACCATTAAACAAAACTTCTCTCTTTTCTACCCTGTAACAATTTCCCATACAGGAGAAGGAGAAGAGGAGAGAGGAGGAGGAAATCCGTGGCCCTGCTATGACAGACTACAAGAACTGTTCAGACGAGAGGAAGGAAGCAAGGATGAAGACTTTCAGAGACCTCGATTCCAACAGTGATGGCAAAATCAGTTATGAAGAATTGAAAGCTTTTCTCTCTGAGGAAGGATATACGGGTCAGAAATTTAAATCTCTTGCTGAGCTAGACAAAGATGGTGATGGATATCTTGATCAATGGGATTTCAATGTGCTTCAGTACATGATTGACAAAAGGGTTTCTTGTAAGGTCTGTGGACTGTTTATAAAGGGCTTGTGCTACAGCTGTGCTGAATGCATGAACAAGTGGATCTCCAAGAGCGGTGATAACTATTATGTCTGTCCTGCTTGTTATCACTCTGGGAAATTTGTCCATGAACACTCCACCTTCTGGGATAACTATGAGATGCTTTGGAATAGAATGCAGGCTGCAAGAAATGAGGAGGTAAATTTCTTATAATGGGTTCTTAATTTCGGTTTTCTTTTCCCTTTTCCTATGTATAGTTGGTATGGAAAATATATAGGATGAAGTGATTCACTCATGGGATTCACTGATTCAGAACAAACCTTGGGTTGTAGAAACTGCGATATAATCCTAAAAGTTTACATTTAAGAATGGTGAGCATGAGAAGAACCAAAGAAGTGAAGGATGGAAACCCTACTTTTCCATCTTCTCGTCTTCAAGGGACAATTCATTCTCACCATTGTACTGTCAAATACTGGTTGACCATATTTCTTAGCACAACAAATAACAAATTAGCTCTTCTTGTGCTTTGTTACTTCTCTTTCTCCTGGACTAATGGCTATTATCATAGGTAGAATAACTCGTGACAAGCGAGTTATTCATGTCTAGCATGAATTGAACTGAATTTGAGCTCATGTTTCTAGCTTGAATTGAGCTTGAGCCCATATTTGAACCTCATGTATTTTCTATCAAATTAAGCTTAAATAGCCAAATATTCACCTCAACTTTCTCAAATTCACCCTTAATATAGGTGCTAAGCCTAGCCTATGATACCCTACTAGCAATTAAGGGTGCAAGTCATAGGTCCGTTAATGTCAATCCTAATCCAACTTGAGCTACGAAAGCCCCAACCCAAAGTTTTGTAGTTGGGTTTGGGTTGGCTTAACTTATCTACTTCCTTCTGGCCAAATGTTCCTACTTCCTGGATCTTGGATTTGTGGTGGAGACCAGTTCAGTTTTAGCATTATTACATGTAAAGGACATGGTCATGCTTTTGATATTTTGACTATAAACTTATAATTGTTCACATACATATGTGCATGTAGACATGGATACATATATATATACATACATTTGTGGATGCATAGTCAGACATACTGCATACACAAATAAATATAGTACACACGTACATAAATAAATGTGTATATAGGCTCCATTTCATTCGTAGTCGGAAATGAACTAAAATCCTTAGAATCAGAATTTGAATGGTCTATCCCCATAGTTTATATGGTTAAGACAAGAATTGGGATGGGTTAGAATTAACTGGAATGGAATTTCATTCCCAAAGGAGAGGGAATGACCATTTACAAATAAATATAGTACACACGTACATAAATAAATGTGTATATAGGCTCCATTTGATTCGTAGTCGAAATCCAAACTAAAATCCTTAGAATCAGAATTTGAATGGTCTATCCCCATAGTTTATATGGTTAAGACAAGAATTGGGATGAAAATTAGAATTAACTGGAATGGAATTTTATTCCCAAGAGAGGGAATGACCATTTCTTATATGCGGGGATGGCATTCTACCATAAATGGGAATGGGATTCCAATTCCATCCAACCAAATAGTCGAAATTAGAATAAGACATTCGCATTCCGATTACAGACCCCTATTCCTGTAAACCAAGCAAGCCCAAAATATTTATACATATATACAAACATGAAGCTCAGTTGGGTTTCGGTTGCGTCGAGTTGGCCAAGGCCTAAGCCATAATCAACCAGAAGTTTAGTTATGTCCATACTTACGAACCCAAACTTAATTTATTTTTGGCTTGGATTCAGGCTAACTTGTCTCAAGTTGCAGCCCTTTTGGTAATACTCTCCTAGATTATAACCAATGCTTTCAATCCATTGTTGATTAGCCGGGCTTAAAAAAGAACAACATTAACCCATATGTGGTCGGCACTCCATTAATTCATTCACAATTCCAATATTGATGCATTTTATTTGCTGTAGTCTTGTTGTTAGGGCACTTTTATTTGTTATCCCTTATTGGTCATCTTTGGTTATGGGAAATGTTTGTCGGTCAAATGTTTGAGTTTTTATTTATCTAGGATATGGTTTTCATAGAAAAGAGATCAATTCCACGTATAGTTGGTCAATGACTTTTTATTATATCTAGGTTGCAAACACTGATGTTTAGTTTACCAAGATTTCTAGATCTTGTGAATGGATCATTATTTGTTTAATTATTTATTTACTTGGTTGATTATATGACGAATATGAGTTATTAAGACCGTATTATGTCATGTCAAACAAAAAGGGCCTGTTTCAATAAACGAAACGAGTTATATGGATCGTGTTGTGTTACTTGTGTAATAAACAGGTCGCATTCATGTTTAAAAACTTAATATGATTAATTAATCGTTTTCGTATTTGTGTAATTGTGTCAATCCATATATCAGAATACTCTTCTCTTAACACAACTTCCAACAGAAGATGAGACGACCAATTGCCATCCTAATGGAGCTACAGAACAAGGGGTATTCCATGCCCTTTTAGTAGGATTTCATCCGAAGTCTCCAAGTCTTCAACACAATCAGTCACTGAGAAAACTTATTGTTGCCGTGTGAGTTGGTCGAGGGCAATAAAGTAAATTTATTTCAGATTTTGAACGTTAGTCGAAGACCTCGGGGTTTCGGAAGAGGTTGATCGAAGCCGAGGACAGAAAATTGAGGTGAATTATTTCTTCCGAGGACTATGGTAGCTGAAGACTGCAAGTCGAGGCGAAGTCCCTGGTGACCTGAGATACTACCAGACAGGGAGTGCCAGAGACCTCGGGGTGGATACCCGAGGCAGAGGTTCCGATGCTCAAATTAGTACAAGGTGTGAAGAAGGGGAGAGTGCAAAAGTGCTCCTAGAGAGAGTCCTTGGATGCACCAGATCTCCCTGAATTAATGCTAGGTAGACAATGTGGGTGTAGGAAGTAAATGAGTGAGTGATGTTGGAGTTACTTTGTTCCAGCCCCTTTTAAGGGGTAGTTACCTCTTATTTATACTTGAGCGTGTTGGTGGTAGGTGAAGATGAATGCCCCAGATGAAATCCGTACGAGGTTAGACTGCAGTCCCCGGCGGGTGCACCAAACAGCTATGTGATTGGCTCCGTACGGAGGCAGTAGGGCTCCCTCATTGTTGCTGACGCTAACAGGCGTTAGTGGGTTGGGCCTCCCAGCCCTATGTGGGTTAGGCCAAGCTAACCCACATCACTTGCCCCCCCCCACTCCCGAGGCCGAGGTGAGGCCTCGGCTTCTGCCCGTAATGAGGGTAGTAATTGAAGTAAGGCTTCAGATTCGGTCGATGCGAGTAGTGGTCGTTATGCCTTTGGATTCGTCAACCGAGGGAAATCCTGCAGTGGCATCGTTTTCGCTATTTGTGTCATCCCTCTTCGATTTGGAAGCGCGAGCAATATGGATGCCTCGGCTTGGTGGGGGTGTTCTGTATCATGCACGGGCAAGTCACGTTAGCGGGGCTATCGTGCAAGGGACGGTCATCCCAGGAGTCCTGTGTTTGCCGGGTTGAATGGTCCGCCCAGTGGTCCATGATGAGCGGGACTTTTGGTTCGCTCGGCGGGTTGTAGCGGACGATCTTCATGGTCCACTCGGTGTCATTTCTCCTTCCGAGGGCATGCGCTAGGAGGTGGGGTGAGACTGGTTCGCAGAAGCGGGGGGCTCCCTCATTCGTTGGATCTGCGTTGATCTGAACCGTTGCTTTGGGTTCGTTTCGTCTTCCGAGGGCCTGCGCTAGGGGGCTCCCACATCCGTTAGATCTGCATTGATCTGAACCGTTGCTTTGGGCATCGTTTCGTCTTCCGAGGGTCTGTGCCAGGTGGCGCGTCACAATTGGATGGTAGGAGCGGATTAGTTTCAGCCATCAGATTTAGAGAAATCTAGGCCGTTCATTTTCCTTTAAATAGGGGCCCTAGCAGTGACTTTCTTCTCCATTTGAACCTAGATTCCCTTGCTCTCGAGTGAACACAGCTCCCCAACTCTTAATTCCCCATAACTTTTTTACTTCTCCCCTTTTTCGGGACATTTCACCCTCTTTTAGGTAATCTTAACATGTCGTTTTCAGATTCTGGTCCCGAGTGCCATGAACTCCCGAACATCTTGGGAGGGAGCTCTCCTGCAACCCCCTCTCCCTTGTCTTCTCTAGGTTCTTTTGCTATAGCCTCCCTTCGATGGGAGGTGGCCATTTTGAGGGAGAGGTTAACCTCGGAGGGTGCCAAGGGCAGTTACCGGGGAAAGGACTCTCCCCATGAAAGCACCGCCTCGGTGTCGCCGAGGGAGCCCGAGGGATCTCCTCTCCCCAAGGACGATGCTGTGGAACTCGTCGCCGGACCACTAGGAGGGAGTGTTGCCCAAAGGGTGTCTGACACTAGTGTCCCACGTTCGGAGTTTGACAGCTCCTTAGACGTGTGCCAAGTCAAATCCTTGGTGAAGGGGTTCCACATGCCCCGATCTTATAGCCTGAGGGACCCCGACATGGGCGATAGGCTGTTGGCTCCCGAGGGGGGAGAAATCTGTATCTACCAGCATTTTTTAGAGTCTGGCCTTAGGTTTCCCCTCCCAACCTTAATATCTGAACTGCTAGAGTGGTATAGTATCACTATCAGCCAGCTCGTACCCAATGCCCTTAGGACCATCGTGGCAATGATGGTGTGGTCTCGGCTCAGGGGCGTGGAGTTAACGTTAAGACTATTCTGCGCCATGTTCGTGCTGAGGAAGCATGCTTCCGAGGCCAACATTTATTACTGCCACCCAAGGAGAGGGAAGCCAGTGCACAACCCCTCGTCCGTTCACGGGTGGAAGGATAAGTTCTTCTACCTCTCCTGCCCTGAGGGCTGGCGCTTCAGGTCCAACTGGGGGGAGGACTGCGTCATCGTCAAGAGATGTTCCCCACCACTCCAAGATGAAAAGGCTGTAGTAGTAGCTCACCAGCTTGTGATGGGGACATTCCAAGCGAAGCTATTGGTGGAGAAGGAGGTCCCCATAGTCTTCGCTGGGATTAGCCCAGCCCCCCCTCGATAGGAGAGGTTTTGTGGTCAGTGTGTCTTCCACGTTCTTTTCTTTTTTGCTAATGTGCTAACTACTTTCATTTGTTGTTTCACAGAAGTGCTAATGGATGCCAAGGAACACTTGTTTGCAAAGGCCCGGGCGAAGTAGGCCAGGAAGAAGGCCGGAGAACAAATGCCGAAGAG